GCGGATACAATCGGCAACATAATTGAAGCTAGAGTGAAGCTTGAGCAAGAGTAAAAGAAAATATATTATTATACTCGATATATGCTTGATCTATTTGATCTGTAGGGGAAAAAGCATTCACACTTGATCTATTCGATCTGTAGGGAATTTATAAATTATCACGACAGCCATTCGATACTTCAAAATGTCAATTCAATGCAGAAAATCAGTGCATCTATTCAATATCTATTTGCCTTAGTATACTCTATGCATAATTTCTATACCTGCCTAGGTATCTATTAGATTGCCATCAATTTCAAAAGCTCTAATTCAGAAAATATAACTCAATTACTGTGCACACTCGATATATATTTGCGATATGATTCCAATTCAATATATTTTATTAAATATAAATGGAAAATCTTATTTCAGTTCTTTCCGATAGACTCCATATTATACACTCAATATCTAAATGAGAGGATATCGACTTATATCTCATATACTCATTAGATATCAAGTATATATAATCGATTTATATGGAAAAAATAAATCCAAAATATGATTATATTCCTACATTTTTTCAATATCAGGCCCATTCGATATATTTGATGTTCGAACCTATATCCGTATTCAATTCAAAATTTGTATGCAGAATAATCTTCAAGTATCATACATATATCTATATTCCACCCTCGATTATACAAGAGTATGTCATATATATTGTATACATACGATATTAAATATCTAAAACGATATTCAACTAGCACTCCAACAATTCGAACCTGCTCAAGCTTTACACGTTTGCCTCATGGGGCGCTTATCTAAAAATTCCACAAAAATTCCATTCGTGTCACGCGCCCATCTGCTGCTGCTTGGATTCCCTAGACAGCAGGCCTAAACATCGCCTACGATATTCTGTTCTTTCGCACGCCGATAGCCTGGCCCAGTCGGTCAAATTGATGGTTTCGATGGGCGTACTCCTCGGCTATCCGCTGCAGTTCTTTGTCGCCGTGCAGATCATGTGGCCGAGTGCCAAGCAGGTGTGCGGCATGGAGGGTCGTTCGCTGGCCGGGGAGCTAATCTTCCGGAGTCTGCTGGTGCTCGTGACGTGTAAGTAGAGGCAAGACAATAGAGAGCGGAGCGTGTGCTCATGCCCAGCTTCTCCCATCCATATGCAGTGGCCATAGCAGAACTGGTGCCGGCCTTGGGTCTATTCATCTCCCTGATTGGCGCCCTCTGCTCGACGGCCCTGGCGCTGGTCTTTCCGCCGGTCATCGAGCTGATCGCGTGCAGTGAACCGAACAAGGGGCCCGGCATTTGGATTTGCCTCAAGAATCTAATCATCCTGGTGCTGGCCCTGTTGGGCTTCTTCACCGGCTCCTACGAGAGCCTCAAGCAGATTGTCAAACACTTTGGCGAGGAGGATTTCCACTAGCGATGCCACGCCCACTCAACAAGTGCCACAAATGAACAGGCTCGAATAGCCTTAACATAAATTATTCTATAACTTATACACACACACATATATATATATATGTATCCTATATATGATAACCCCATATGCTATTGTAGGCAGAGTACTACGACTACTGTTTACCATATATCTGATATATGATATATGGTAAATGGTATATGAGACCATGTTGATATATGACAATTACTCATGAATCATGTGCCGCGAAATAGTTTTTAATTTCTGTTTGTCTCTCGAGCAACAATTTTTTTTGTTTTTTTTTTTTTTAATTTAGTTTTTTTTTTTTTCTATTTATATATAAACATATATGTTTGATATATAAATATAGAATTCATAAGTGTAAATAAATGATGGGTTTAGAGCCCATAAAAATCAACATATATTTTATTTTATTTGGGCGAAGAGCTTGGAAAAATTCGAGCTTAAGACTTGCTCAGAGATCTTTAAATCGATCTATAACGTATACCTGATCAGCTTTTCATTACTGTAGATCATCTTCCCCTTTGAGGTAGAGAGAAAGCGAGAGCTATGCTTTCTATTGTTGATGACATTCCTGGACTAAATAAATCCAGAACTGTATGGGTATTATGCAGCCAGTAGTGCCCCATTGCAAACGTTTTGCTATTATTTTCGACTATCTGAAAAGTGTTTATGGATTAAAATTGGCTAGACATAGACTAGTCTGATTGTACACGTACACCTAATAGAACTCTATTAGTAGTATGAGTACCTAACTTTAGGGGAGGATACTATCGAACCGCATCAAAATACATTTAAATATCAAATTGTAAACTTAGCCAACTCCAAGATATGGCTAGAGATGTAGATCTATAGTGGCATATTTTACAAATATATCATTATATAGTGAGCCATCTAGGCAATCGTAAAATCGTTGCAATAATCTTTCATTGTCGTTGATAAACAAACGTGTGACGAATTCAAAGAATTTCTTATTAATCTAATCCGAAACTAAATCAATCTAATCGAAACCGTTCCAACATTGCCCAGCGCACGCCCAGCGGCCTTCGAATTGGCCCAAAGCCATGTGAAGCCAGATGAATCGACAATAGAGCCAAGCGCATATCGTGTTGATATTTATTGCCCGGAACATGTGCACGAGAGATATCGTAAATCTATTGTATATACATATGTATATATGAATGGAAGAGTTTCATAGATTGGGTGATTGACGGATGTATGGATATGATTGACTACATAATTGAATAGTTGATGGATGGATTGAATGAAGAAGTGAGCCGCTTGACTGACTGCTTAATGGAGTAATAGCTGGATGGACTGACTATTCAATTGTGTACTTGATTGATTAGCTAATTTACTGATTGATTGAAGTTGATTGATTGACTGAACCTACGGATTGAATCACTGGTTAACTACTTTGATATATTGTCTTTTTTATAAGATTAATGGACTGATGGAATAGTTGATTGTTGGGCCAATTGATTGATTGAATTATTCATAAAGTATTTGATTGAACGATCAATTTCTGGACTGATCAAAAGCCTATACAAATTGAAGAGTTTGCTGGATTATTATATTGGCGGATATATAAGGAGACTGACTGTTTGACTAATTGATTGAATGTATGCCCATTGATTGATGGATTGACTGCTTGGATGTATTGATTGACCGATCGACTGATGGATGGCATGATTGGAAACCTGATAAAATAAGCGATTGGTAGAGCACTCCATAAAAACTCTAAATATATACCAAATAAATACTAAATATATACCAAATGCATTTCAATTCAGTTTCAACTTTGGTAAGTCGTGAAATTATAGTCGAATTTTTACTACCGATACTTTGTAAGATCTTTGCCCATCTCGAAATGGGTGACGACTACACATGCTTCCGTTGAGCAAGCATTTGGGCTCTCGGGGGGTTCACTGCCTGGCTTATATAATCCAATTGTGCAATTCCGTGAACATTGATAGATCGATCGTTCGATTGGTTCGTTTCCCATGTTGCATTGATTGTTCATATCAATATGCGCCATGCATATATGTACATATGTACACATATGTCTGTGCATGGACGACGAAATTGTTGTCAGAAAAGCCAACTCGTGAATTCCGTGCAATTCATTTAACTGTGGCGCTACACAAGAGCAGCAAACAACTACAACAGCAACAACAAAATCACAACTAACAACAATAACAACAACAAGTCAATCAATCAATTAAATGTTGTAAATTTCCATGCGTTGCAAGTGCGCGAGTCAGTTGGGCAGGTGCATCAATCGCCGATAGCTCAATCCCAAGCTCGATGCGCCTTTCCAGCTGGCATGCAGTCGCCACACGGCCAGGAATTCGGTCTATTGTCATGCACATACATGCCATATCATGTGAGCTTTTAGCGGCAGCGGCATTGCCCGAACGGCACGTGCATAAATTGCTCATACGCCGCATTGTGCGGCACATCCTTGAACCAGAGACGTGTAATTGGCATCAGTTCCACATTAATTGACATTTAACACAACTTGTATGGAATCACTTCCTTTGCGCACAGACAACGGCTTGGGATGCCTGCTCAAAGACGGGTATATTAGTTACCGTATATGCTCAATAGAGCTCAACTGCAGCTTACATAATTACATACATACAACTTCAATTGATGGGATTTCCGAGACAGCTTGCCACGCCCCCTAACGAATGAATCGAAGATATACACAACACAGTGAGTGCTCTAAATTTTCAGGTCTCTAGCTTCAAGACGGACATTGCCAAAAGCCAATATACTCATTTCAATTTTAAGAATGAATACCAAAAATACAAAATACGTGATTTGTGTTCATATTTAATTTGAATTTATTTTGAATTTCACTAAATGAAAAAAAAAAGGTTACTGAAGTTCAATTTTAAAACACGTTCCATCAAAGCCTTGAAATTCGTTGTTTCTAGAAATTATTTGTACATATAAATCACCAAAAATTATTTTAATAAATTGAAAAACTTGTGCATTATATTTTTACCCACATTATTTTATGTTAATGTAAGTGCGAAAAATTCATTTAATAGTTTTAGAAATCATTATGACGAGACTCGCGGTAGGAGCACGTGCAGATGATGTGGCAAGCAAACTATAAAACCTAATTAAAACTGAATTTCTGTTGTTTTAGTTTAATTAATGCTGAAAGCAAAGAGTCAGCGATAAAGGTTTACAAATCTCTGGCTAAAACCGATTTTAACAGCTTTCAATTCAAAAGAAAGAAAAGGCAAAAGGAAAAAAAAAAGTTCTTCAAGCCAAAACCAGAACAATCAAAACAATTCAAAATTTCAATTTGCGAATTGCATTCACATATCAAAAAAAAAAAAATAACAAAAGAAAAACAAAAGCAACAAAAATAAAGTATGTAAAAAAAAAAAAGTAAAAAGCACCGCACAGATGAGCAAGCAATAACAACAACAAAGATAACAGGGCTGCCGCTTGTGCTGAGAGAGCTTGCGCGCAGGAGAGCGCAAGCGAACAAGAGAGGCGAAGCAGAAGAGGAAGGCGCAGGCAGAGGCAGAGGCAGAGACAGAGACAGAGGCCGATGCAGGCGCTTGCCCTTAAGTGCAAGGTATGAAAGCAAAAATGCCGTTAACCATTAGAAGCACACTCATGCGCGCGCACATACACACTCATAGAAATACTGTTACATATGCAAAAGCAGCTGACGCAGTCGCAGTCGCAGTCACAATCACCGCCGCCGTCGTCGTCGTCGTCGTCGTCGCTTTGCCTGACTATTTCATACGCTGCTCTTAGCCAATTCGAATAATATTATGAATTGAGTCTGGTTTGAGTTCTTGGCGCGTCAACACGCTTCTAAAAAAAAAGCACGAACAAAACAAAAATCGAAAATTAGGAAAATCGGTTAACGCGCGCGCACTATTAAAAGTAAAATATAACAATAATATTAATTATTATTATACATTTTTTTCGTTCATTTGAAGCACTTATAGGATTTGTGATTTATTATTATGATTTCCAATCGATTGGCTGGTAGCTTATCATTGTTGCCAATATTTATTTAATAAAATCCAGAGATATTACGTATCGAATGCCCATAGAGCACTCTCATTGAATTATAGTGTTTGCGTTGCTTACAATAATTGCATAAATATGCTATACTATATATGATATACTGAAGTTCAGCAATAATTAACACCTCGATTAGAAGTTCTATGAAATGTTTAGCACTTAAGCACAATAGGTCAATGTTTTGTTATATATGTATGTGTATGTGTATTGATAAAACAAAGTATTTAGTCTGGTTTTTTTTTGTAATTTAGATTTGTATCTGCTGTAATTTGTAGCTCAAGTGCTTTTCCCCACAAACTATTAATTATATATAAATTTGTACTTGTGTTCAAAAATGAAAAAAAAAAAAAATAAAATAAAATAATAACGTGAATTTAAGACACGTGCGAACCACTAATTAAAAGTATCTGTTCGCCCTTGAGTGCCCATTTAAAATTGAAAGTTGTATCAAATCGGCCGGCTTTCTAGGGTTAACAGCAGTCGATGCACAATTAGAGCAGCGCCTGTCCCACTTACGCTCTCTAACTAACGTGCTCTCGCACCCGTTCTCTCTCTCCCAATGACACTTTTACTCTCTCGCATACACACTCGATCGCTTATCCTCCAATCCAAAGACACCGTTAACTTTGTTTTTGCTCTGCTGGAAGCTTTCGCATTTTTTCGCCTTCCTTTTTTTTTGCATTTGCCTTTGACTTTTAAATTGCGCCGCTGGTGCCGAAACGCAGCAACTGAAAATAATTGAATATTAATCGCAATTATTAAAAGTACATTTGTTAAATTAAATTTAATTAAATTTTGCAGAAGAAAGTGTATAACACCGAAAAGGTGATCGAAGCTGGCAATATGGGCAAAACATTAGAAATAACCAAGCCGGAACAACAACAGCAGCAGCAGCAGCATCAAAATTCCACTAAGGGTGGAGAAAAGGATCTGGAGAGCACAATTGTTAAGCGTCGCCATGCCACAAGCAATCTGGAGGCGGCCACACATCTCTTCAAGGGCAGCGTCGGCGCCGGCCTCTTCGCCATGGGCGACTGCTTTAAAAATGGCGGTCTCATTGGCTCCACTTTGATGCTGCCCATAATTGCGATCATGTGCGTCCACTGCGAACGACTGCTTATACGCGGCTCCCTCCTGGCCGTCGCCCAAACGCCGGGCGCCACCTTCTATGATTATCCAGAGACGGTGGAGAAGTGCTTCGAGTACGGACCGCGACCGTTGCGCCGCATGTCGCGCGCCATGAAGCTGATTGTCGAAATGTTTCTCTGTGTGACGCAATTCGGTTTCTGTGCCATCTACTTTGTGTTCATCACGGAGAATCTCTACCAGGTGAGGACGCACTGCTCCACATATCACTTGATTTATAAATTCATTATTTGTCAGTTTAATTTGTGCTCCCAATAGCTCATTTTTTTCGAGCAGTTTACCAATACTGCAACGCTAACAGAAGCACTTGATCGCTTTTCAGCACTAATTGTGATTTTTAAATTAATCTCCAGGTGATGCAACAGAATGGCATAGACATCAGCATGAGTTTGGTCATGCTAATCACTCTGCTGCCCGCAATGATTCCATCGCTGATGACAAATCTGAAATATATCTCACCAGTGTCGCTGCTGGCCAATTGCGCGCTGCTCTTTGGCTTGATTGCCACGCTATCGATCGCCTTCACCAGCGGCCCGATGCCCCCCGTAAGGGAGCGCAACTATTTCACTGGCGGCAGCCAGCTGGCTCTATTCTTTGGCACCGCCCTCTTCTCGTACGAGGGCATCGCCCTGATCCTGCCGTTGCGCAATTCGATGCGCGAACCGGAAAAGTTCGACAGTCGCTTCGGTGTGCTCAATGTGACGATGCTGCTGATCACATCGATCTTCATCTTCACGGGCTTCGTTAGCTATGTGCGCTGGGGCGAAGATGTTGCGGGCAGCATCACGCTCAATCTGGATGTGGAGGATGTGTACGTATATAGGGTGAACAATCGCTATAATTCCCATATCTAACAATTACGATTGTATTATATTTGACAGCATGTCACAGGTGGTCAAAATGGTGGCCGCCTTGGGCGTCTTCTTCGGCTATCCCATACAATTCTTCGTCATGATGAAGATCCTGTGGCCCCCTGTCAAGCGCAACAATAGCTGCGCCCAAAAGTATCCAATCACCATGCAGGTGGCGCTACGTTTCATCATGATCATGATGACCTGTAAGTGGAGGATGAAATCCAAATAGAATTCATTATTTCTTTATAATTTGTTTGCATAAACTTATTCTCTCTTTTCACTCTCCAGTCTGTGTCGCCCTGGTTGTACCCCAATTGAATCTATTTATATCTCTAATCGGTGCTTTATGCTCAACATCGTTGGCATTTGTCATACCCATCATCATAGACTTTGTCACCCGCACCCAGGTGCCAAAGGGACTGGGCACCTGGATCTACTTCAAGAATATCGCCATCCTGACCATTGCCATATTGGGCATTGTCACTGGCACCTATCAGAGCGTCGTTGAGATTATTAGAGAGTTTCAATAGGTCAACTCGATGGTTGGCTAATTGCTTGCCAAGTATTTTGTAAATATGCAGTAATCGTGTGTTAATATCTTATAATGTTTAAATGTCCTCGTTACTTTTAAGTTCAATATCTGTAATATTTTTTTCACCTTCATGTTTTTTTTTTTTTTTGTTATTAATTTTAAGTGATGCCGGCCGTACTTATTGCGTGTGTGCCAGTTTATTATTAATCGTCAACTGTTAATAAGCTTTCATCGAAACGAAACAACTAGATAAAAAACCAAAACAAATTATATTTTAATAAATGATTATACATTGTCAGTTATAAATTTGATTTTAAATTGCCGAACAAAATGCAACTGTTAGAGGCTTAACAGCGCTGTTGTAATATACGACAGGGCTGCAAAATCTTAACAGCTTCCAAGTTATTTTGTTTAAATTCGCACAATCTGTATCAACTATAAAATGCTGCAAGTATGCTTTATTGTATATGGTGAAATGAAACTTGTAAATAAAGAACAAATATATATATATATATATATTTATGTTTAAATAATTGATTATACACTGTCCTTTAAGTATTTGTTTAAAATTGGCGCCCACTTATGCGGGCATTTGTCAACACTGCCGCAGCATGCAGCTAGGCTGGAACAACATTCTAACAGTCTTCAAATTGATTTAACAGTCGATTTTCTAATCTTTCTATACAGGACCGGAAAGACTTTTTTCCATGAACTTCCTACGCGCAAAGCATATCCACCATTTATTTGGCTTGTCATCTGATGTGTCGAAGACCTTCTCTAACAAGCGATAGCCGGTCTCCTGGCGCAACTGCAGCAAATATTCACGCATTAGATCTGGATTATCTGGCTTGGTATAGACGGAGTTTAACGGGAAACCAGCATCGCCGGGCAACGCAAAGCTCGAAATAGCCAAGGCATAAAGATCTTGTTGTCCCTGATCCTTGCTAGTGCAGCGAACCAGCTTTTTCAGGCATTCCGTTATGTAGAGCGTTATATATATAAGTACGCGATCCACCTCCGACTGCAATCATGTATAAAATATATTTTATTCTTATTTATGTATATATGTATTTAGTTATATCGTTTTTATGTTGATTGCAGCCTACCTTGACTTCGTATGTGCGAAAGAAAACGTTTGCTTTAAAATAATAAAGTGACTCATCGATAATGTCGTTATCAGTATTCACACTGGGCGCTGGCCCCCGTACTTTGGTGCGTAGAGGCAAGATGGCCATGTTTCCCACCTTGCTGTGGAACTCCTCGATCTCAGAATGGTAGGCCTATTGCATTGTTAATAATGATAATTATTTAAATGAATACAGCATTAATGCAATAAAGAAAACATAATCACTGTTAATCATCGATTACCAACAACAGGAGTTATGGCAGTTTAACTACTTACTGGCATTTTACAACGATTGCGATCAGCTGAATACGAACACTAAACAACAACTAAATGCAATTGTTTTCTGTTTACCAAAAGCACTTCTGTTAATGCGGGAAACACTTGATCCCTGATTATATCGAAGTAGAACTATCGAAGTTTTAAAGTTTCACGTAGTACTGTTAACTTCCAATACGTCGTGGTATTATCATTCTGTTAATGTTATTAGCAGTATGGTCTACATTACATATTATTTTCACGTTATTTTCACGTTATGCAAACACGGTCACACAGTGCGCACGTTTTGTACTGAAAACAAATGAAGAAAGAATTAAAAACAACGTCCGAATCGCAGCCCATTGAATTGGAGAGCGATGAGGACATGGTAGTAGATATGACCGAGATGAACGTTACCAAAGCTAAAGATGTGAAGGAGCAAGTTGCCGTTGTACCCAACACAAAAGACGATGAGGAGGAAGACGACGACGAAATGGATTTGGCCAATTTCAATGCCGGTGCTAAACAAACCGCCAAAACCAAGAAACGCAAAAAGGGAATCATTTATATCTCGAATATACCAAAGCACATGAATGTGACACGTCTGCGTGAGATACTCGGTGAATTCGGCAAGATTGGACGCGTCTACTTGCAGCCGGAAAAGAAGCTAGGTGAGTGTGAGCTGGCATGAATTTCCGGCAGACAATTATATAAATTTTCTTTACAGGCGATAAGGCGAAAAAGAACAAACGTAAGAAATACAATATTCACTTCACCGAAGGCTGGGTGGAGTTCGAGTCAAAGCGTGTGGCCAAACAGATTGTTCCGCTGCTGAACAACAAGCAAATCTCGACCCGAAAGAAGTCACAGTTTTACGACTCGCTGTGGAGCATGAAGTATTTGCCTCGCTTCAAGTGGGTGCACCTGACCGAGCGGATGAACTATGAGCAAGCCGTCCATAAGCAGCGACTGCAGACGGAAGTCTCACAGGCCCGCAAGGAGACCACCTTCTTCCAGAACAATCTGGACAAGAGCGAGCATATCAAGAAGTTGGCTAAAAAAGCTAAAAAGTCACCCAACATTGCTAAGGCGAAAGCGTAGTAGCTGAATGTTTGTTATATATAGCTAATATATATATATATATATATATATATATATATATAAATATTTTTTTTATTAGAAATAAGCATATTTGGCACTAACTGCACTGTTTACATGTGAAAGTGCTCTTATCGCGCTTGATAAGCTCAATCCTGCGTCTGTCGCTCATTTTGCGCATGCGTTCTGTTATTTAAACGTCAAATGCGCCTTGAGTATTTAAAAAGCTTTCAAATTACTTTAAAAAGAAAAATATATAAAAAATTGCATATATAGAAAAATAATTCCTTATTACACCACACCGTTTACTTTAATTATCGATTTTTCTTTCCAATTAGAAATTAATATATTGGCGCTAATTATGAAATGTAACATTTCTAATTGCTCTTTGTGCGCTTGAGCAACTGATTTATGCGTTCGAGCTACTCATTTTGCGCATACGCTCTGTTAGTTTTGCGTTAACGTGTTTGTTTACAAAGCTCAGTGTCGTTTTTAATAAGTGGTATGTCAATGTCTACAAATTAAAATGAATGTATATATTTACAAATGTTTCCAAAATACATTAATTTAAGAGTCTTACTCTTCATTATTAACATTTTGCACTCTTTCACTTTTAAACTGTTAACCAACTGTTGCGTTCTCAGTTGTTATGTTAACATAACAGTCGTCTTTTTGGATTCAGTCGTACAAAACTCATTGAGCGGACTGGCAGCGGTGGCGTCTGCTTGCGTTAATAATAATTATTATTTTTTTTACAATTTGTTTTTGTTGTGCATCAAAGCCTTGTTTTGATTTGAAACGAGACGAAAAAGTTCTGAATGAAGTGTCCGTAAATGTGCTTTAGGTGCGATGCAATTGATCATTTCAATTCGGTATTATTGTTATTATTGCGGTTTTAGTACGCCAAAAGTAAAGTAAACTCGTTTACCAACACAGACGCTGTGTTTGTATTTGATTGCGTTTGCCTTTGCTTTTGCTTTTGCTTAGTTGCTTGGCCGATGTTGCGCGCGGTATTCAGATGCAAATTTCATGCACCATACAGAGCAAACTTAGTGGGGAAAATTGAATTAAAGAACTAAATGATATTCAATGCATTCCCTTTTGCCGCGCCACACAACAATAATAACAACAACAACAACAACGATAACTGCAACAACAGCAACCACCACAACAGCCAAACGACGACGCCAACGCTGGCAAACACAACAACCACTACAGTTAATAAACTGTAGCAACAGTTGAGGCGGCAGAAGAAGTATAAAATAACAACTTAAAAGGTAAGCGACATGCACGCAGATATGTTTGTATTTACATACACGCATACAAGTGCACCTCCACACAAATACATATTTACATGCGTCAGCTTCCAAGTTGCGCTTATTATGCCCGACCAATAAGACTTGCGCCCACTACAATAAGCATAACGGTATCGAAAGCTGCGTCGCTGCCTGGCTGCCCAACGCCCTTGACAGCTGTGTGCGACTGCGACGTCAGCAGCAACGCAATAGTGAAATGCATCATGAGAAAAAAAAAGAAAAGGCAAAGGCATCCCAATCAAATGGAATTTAGCCGGTTTCCACAAAAGCAGACAAACTGCCAGACGACAGCAACGTCAGCGGCGGCAGCGACAACAACAGCGCCATACAATTCTCGAGTGAGAGCGTCTCGCTGCAGGAGTTATTGCAGACGCCGGCAGAGACGTCGCGTCGCAAGTTTTTTTTGTCTTTTGTTGTTATTATTATTTGGGTTGGGTTTCTGCTTGCGCTGGGACTTTCGCAGCTCAAGAAAGTTACAGTTAGCGGTTGTCCTCTCTAACTGTTCAAATTTAATATGAACAGAATCCACATGCATTCCACAGGCCATAAAAAACTTGAATGAGAGTATCTCCCATTAAATTATGTAAATTAAAAAAAAAAAAAATTGGCGGGCTGTGCAAAAAAGAAAAAGAAGAGATTTAAAAGTGAATAAAAAGCAGCAGATACTAAAAAACAACAACCACAACAACGATAATGACACAAGATATACATACATACATACATATGTACATCCATATGTACACATACATATACAAATGTATGTATGAACATCTACATAAAAGATACATATTTTATTATTTGCTTGAGAACTTGTTCTTTTGTTCGACATTTTGTAGCTTTTTTCACCTTTTTTTTATTTTTATTATTGTATGTTTTTTTTCTGCTTTGTATCTTTCGAAATTCCGTGCAGTGTAAAAAGTGTCTCAAACGTGCTTTTTTAAAGCTCTCAGATACCAAAAGGGCAATGTTTGTTGATATGACTCTGGTCCGGCTGCATATGCCCTTTGTTACACATTTACAGTTATTTGGTTGCTTTCATAAGTACATATGTATGAAAAGTATGTACAGCCGCATACCCTATAATGTTGTAAGACATTTATGAGAGCCACAACTTGATTTATTAATGAGTCTTGTTGTTGTTTTTTTTTTTTTTTCATCTCGTTTTCGTTGCTTTGGCTTCGCTCTATGCTCGTTATTCGGACACGCCTTGTTTTTGCTGGGCTTGAATACGCTGCTGCTGCTGGGCAGCAGGGTATTGCGAGTGGCATACGGAATACGTAACACATATGCGTGAGCCAAAGATT